ATAGTTTTAGATTTTGGAGTTTTGGATTTTGGGGTTTTGGTTTGAGTTTCAAAGGTTTTAGGATTTGGTTTTAGGGTTTAGAGAGTTTTAAGGCTTGAATTTTAGGGTTTGAAAAGTTTAAGGTTTTAATTTTAAGGTTTGGGGATTAGTTTTTTGATTTTAGGGTTTAAAGGGTTCAATGTTTTAGTTTTACGGTTTTAAAGTTTAGGGTTTGGATTTTAGGTTTAGATTTTTTAATTTTTAAAAAATACGAACATCTCTAAAAATCTTCAATATCTACACGGACTTTCGGAACAAGTTTAATTTTTTTTATTTTTGAAAATTAATTAAAAACTTTTATGTATTTTTTTTTTATAAAACTTATTATTATTACTTATCAATTTATTATTATTATTATTATTATTATTATTATTATTATTATGTTTTTTTAATTTTTAATAATTCCCTAACATCTAGGTGAAATTATATTTTAGGGTTTGAAATTTTTATTCCCTCCAACATCTAGGCAAAGAAAATAAAAAAAAATTATTCTTATTATCTTTTTTTAGATTATTATTATTATTTAAAGCATTTTTAGTATTTTTTTTTAGTTATTATCCTACTTGTTTTCATTTTATTATTATTAAAAATAATAAAATATTAATTCTAACAAATTTAAAAATTTATCATGCAAAAATATTTAAAAAATAAAACCCAAAACAACAAAAATAATAATGTAAAAAAATTCAAAAAAAATCCTGAACCAGATCGATCAACATCGATCTGGGTCGATCTGATCGGTTCGATGGTTCTGCAGTTCAGACCAGGTTTTTGGCGGTTCAATACTAGTTCAATTGGATCGGTCTTAAGCTGAGGCAAAAACAGGTCGTGGGTCGGATTGTGCGGACCCTTGGTCGGGTCAAGGTCAACGCGTAGATCCTCATTTGATAAAATGACGTTGTTTTGGGCTTTGTCTCTTTATATAAAGCCAAATTTTTTTGTTCAGCTCATTTTTCTTCTGTTCCAAAAAAAAAAATTTTTCAGAGCTCTAGGGAAAGTTCCAGAGCTCCGCCACCGTTTGACATCCAGCCATCTGTGCTGCCACGCTGGCTGCCATGCCGACCACTACTGGTGGTTGCCGTCGGTGGTTGGAAAACATGAAAAACCTCCCAAATGTTCTTCTCAGCGTGATCTTTTCAGATCTGATCTTCTTTTCACCGAAAATAACCCCGATCGGTGTAAATTTAGGCTTGAAACTTTCAGTCTTCTTTTTTTTCTTTTTTTAAAACTAAAACTGATGTGTTTTTTTTTTTTTTTTTTTTGCAAGTGGCTCGACGTTTGATTGCTTGCCGATTTAGTGATGATTGTGTTTTTTTTTTGGTGGATTTTTGGTTTTTGTTTTGTTTGTTTAGAAGGGGAATAGGTATTGGGTAAGGTTGAGGGTGCCTAGTGAAGGGTTTCATGAGGTGTTTAAAGGCTAGGATTTAGAGGTTTGGGGCATACGAAGGGTTGGGTCATTTGGGCATGCGAAGTGCTGGGTGTCTGTGTATATGAGCTTAGGGGTTTCTAGTGTGTTCGAAGATTCGTGTCCTAGAGAGCTTAAAGAGCAGGAAGCTGGGGCTTTAAGGGGTTGATTGTCTGGAGCAATGGGTGGAGTAGATGGTGGTTGTAGGGGTGGTTGGATGTATGAGTAAGGTAGCCTGTAGGGGTGGTTGAAAGTCGTTGTAGGGTGGCTAGTCTGATGGGACGCATGGTGGTGGCAGGACGGTTGGACAGGTTAGTGCTGTGTATGGCACCATGCCTACCTTCGTCCTATCCATCTTTCTTTTTCTTTTTTTTTTAGAAAAATTATTATTATTTACCATTATAATTAATTAATAATTTTAATATTAATAAAAAAAATTAAATATAAAATTTTATCGAATAGATCCAGACAAAATTCGATATCTACTATGAGAGTGTGGGGTCATAGTATGAGCCGTAGCTTCACAAGGCATACCACCGGCCCTTTCCAAAAGCGCGCCCTGATCGTGACATGGGCAATGGCTGATGCCCAAGGCAAATTAAATGCAAATTACTAACTAATACCATTCCTACGACGTAAAAAGGCTGATGAGATGAGAGTTGAGTTTGTTCTGCCTTTGGAGTTTAGTTGAAGATAAGTTCTGAACATGAGATAAAATATAACGTCAATATTACATATTAAATTTGAACACCGGCATGCCAAGTTGGAAGAAGTTATTTTTATTAAATTTGGTGCTAAAATAAGTAGTTTTAAATATTAAATTTAAAAATAATTAACAAAATTAATTTTAGTTTATCAAATAAAAGGAAGCCTGAGAAAAAAAAAATAAAAGAAAAAGAAAGCAAATGGGTTTGATAAAGAAGTTCTAGAATTTAATTGGGTCTAGTAAAGAACATTCACATTATTTTTATGAACAGTAACTTTCTTTCTCTTTTTTTTTTGAAAATTTTTTTGCAGCACTTCTGTTTTAATAAGTTAAAATTAATTTTTTAAAAAAACATTTTAAAATTTAAAATTTAGGAAATAATTGTTTTAGTGTAAAATTTTATAGAAAAAAAATAATATCTTCTAATATGGCACGTACCCCGCATATACAAATAAAAATTAAATACAACGATAAAATTCATTCATATGTATAAATAAATTAAAAAAAAAAACAGTGATAAATTTCAATAAAATTAGCAAATTTTAATCTTCACTTGCAGTACAACGATAAATTTATCTTTTCTCCCTATTTTACTCTCTCTTACTCTTAGTTAACAGGAAAATAGGTTGGGCTTCGGTAAGAATACAATTGCATGCTCAGGAGTTTTGTATTCAAGTACGATGATCCAAAACGGCGAACGGTTCACTCTGTTACAAAATAAAATGGTTTGATTTTTTCAATAAAATTAAAAGTCATATAGAATTTCACTTATAATTTTTTTATTAAAATTTTGTAATTAATTAATTTTAACAAAAAATTTATATAAAAATTCATTACTTAAAAATATAAAATTTATATAACTTTTTATAAATTATATATAATATTAAATAGTAGTCGATTAATTATAGTCAAAAGTTTTTGTGAATAATATGTTTTGGTGTATGGAGGGCTAAATATGTCATTGTAAAACAGAATCTAATATGATCTGTCTACTCTAGGCATGTCTTATCAGAGGTTTAAATTTCATCGTATTTTTAATGTAATATAATTGAGATTATTGTATCATTAATTGAATTTATATATTGATATTATTGAGATTTATTTAATATAAAATTTTTTATAATTTTTTTAATTATAATTATAATAATTTTTTTAAATCATAATTATAATAATAATAATTATTATTTTTAATCTCACTAAAATTAATCTTATTACTTATCCAAATAGACCCTTTATTAGGTCTGCTCTCCGGTCTCAGTCTCATGCGTTGTAAAATCCAAGTACTTAGTAATCTGTAGTTTCTTCATTGGTGACCGCATGCTCTGAGGTCGCCTCATGGTTCCCTTAACCTTCTAATCAATGCATCGGGCATTATTTCAAAATCCATTGTATTGCAACCACCCAGGCATGAAGTTTCTGCTATTGCTTTAAGAAAGTCTTTGAGGCTTTAAAATCATCAATATCTAGCAACCTGTACTAAAAGACGAACTGAAATTCTGCCCCTACACTATCTTCCCTCTTTTTTTCTTCTCATTTTCCAATATGCTGCCTAGGCGGGTAAATAAACAACAGTGAGCAAAGTACACAAGTCATGTATGATATACTTTCCTTACGAGGTTGTGCTATGGTCCTGTTTTACTGATCAAGCTATACATGCTAACTTTGCTTTAATTTTATATATTATTTTCCCTAGAAGACTTATGATCCTGAATGTTCTGGAAGAACCCCAGTTCGCTTCTTTTGGTTAAGGAAGCTATTTGCAGTCCAAGTACACTTTGTTAGCATTAATTCTTGTTGATAATGTTAACGATGTTGCATTTTTTTCATTAGGCAAAAATTGATGTTTATATGTAATCACCATTTATGTCTGCTGCCTGTTTATTTTTATTATTAATAATATCATTAATTTAAGATAGCGTTTGATATCATTTTTAAAATTAATATGATGATTTAATTATCAGGATAATAAAATCATCGAGGAGATTTGATTATCAATGATCTTAAATTATTATGTTTGGTATAATATTATAAATTATTGATTGATCTTAAATCGTTGAATTTGATATTATATGAAAAATAAATCATAAAATACAAAATATTCAAAATAATCTTACAAAAAGAAAGCTAAAAATTTAATACTTGTAGAATCAATAATTTATAAAATAATTAAATGTTATTTTATAAAAAACTATAAAATATAAATCAATTTTGATGAAAAGTAATTTCTAAAAAAATTATTAAATAATTTCATTATTTTAAAATCAATAAATACTTATTCAATTGTAATAGAAAACATTTTTTAAAATGAGTTATTAAAAAAAATAGATTTTTGAAAAGTTTTACTAGTTAGCTTTTTAAGGTAATGTTAAGTACATCTTTCATAAGAGTAAATTAGTCAAAAAAAGATATTAAAAATTACTTTCCTAGGATGATAAAAATTTTTTGCTCTTTAGATTGGAAATCATATTATCCTTCGAGCTAGTGATTTTATCACTTTAGTGATCTAAGTTTATTTCTACATAGGATTTAAATTGCAACCAAATAAAATGATGAAATTATTGAATATAGCTCATTGTGGTTATTAAATAAATCACCTCATACCAATCACTCTCTAAAGTCAAGCAAAAGCATGTAACCGAAATAAAATGGAAGCCAAACAAAGACTAAGGGCCTACACCTCGAAAAGAAGACAGCATTCTAGCTGCTGCTGCTGCTTCATGATTAATCACACAACACACTTGTTTTCTAGTCATATTTCAATTTCACAAATGGATGTTTAATTGAGGACAGCTTTAATATCTAGATAGATAGATAGATATATAATTATTGGTCATGTATAGCAGTGACATCTCATTTGAACTTATGGGATGGAAATGGGGGAATGCTTTGTTCATTTTTGAAGAAATTGTGAGAGTCTATTATGGTTTTCGCACGTACCAATCTCTGGAAATTGGCTTTGAAAAACTTAGCCCCATAAACCATGGCAACAGCGAAATCTGTATTGTTGCTGTCATTGCTACCAACGTCAAGATCTCTGTAGTTGAGAAATGCCTCCCTCGGGAACTTGGAGGCGTACGGAGACATAGCATTGTACAGTGTTCTTGACCATTCCAAGTACCGCTCTGTAGCGTTGATGCCTCCTTCAGCATCCGACCATACCACTGTGTACTGTACTTTGAATAAGTTCCCAGCTCTATGCGGAAATGGCGTTTGATCCTCTGAAATCTCTGCCATTCTTCCACCATAAGGATTGAGTTGGACGAAAATATGCTTGATGTTCATCAGTAAATTCCATAAGGTTTCCAAGCCTGCCTTAGGTATAACTTGTTTGAAGTAATCGGACTTGGTTTTGTAGAAGACTTTGTTCGTTTGCACTCTATTTTTGAGTAAGACGTCAGTGGATGTTCCATTGGGGAATCCGGCCCAGAAAAGAATGGATTCAACCCAACTCATTTCTAAGCAGTCACTAGGCTGCAAATCCAATGCGGGTAAGTTTGCCTTCACCAGTTGAACAAGTCCATCCGTTTGTCCAAGAAAATGGCCAATGAAAGTAACTTGTATGGTTTTGTTGCCTTTGCCAGGTCCGATTAAAGGCCTAACCTCCAGTCTGATGAAAAGATCTTGAGGTAGTTTATGGGCAACTTGTTGCCAGCGATAAGTAAGATCTGTTGCGCCTTGTTCCAAAGTCCTTTGCACCTTGAAAACAGTAACCTTAGGAGGAATAGGAACCAGCTTGATCTTCCATGAAAGAATGATTCCAAAACTAGTTCCTCCACCTCCTCGGATTGCCCAAAACACGTCTTCTCCCATTGACTTTCTGTTAAGTATTCGACCATTGGCATCAACCAATTGGGCATCAAGGACATTATCTATTGAAAGGCCATATTTTCTCATCATGGCTCCATAGCCGCCTCCGCTGAAGTGTCCTCCAATGCCAAGAGTAATGCAAACTCCAGCTGGGAAGCCATGAACTCTACTTTTCTCTGATATACGATAATATAGTTCGCCAGTGGTGGCCCCTGCCTGAACCCATGCCGTTTCGCTTGACATATCAATGTGTATGGACCGAAGATTAAACAGATCAAGAATGACAAATGGGACGTTTGATACAAATGATAGGCCTTCAAAATCATGACCGCCACTTCGAATTCTTACTTGGAAGCCATGTCGCTTTGCACAAACGACAGTTGCTTGAGCGTGAGATTCATGTAAGGCTGTTACAATGGCCACTGGTTTCAAGGTTGCCGAATATAAGCTTCTAAGGTTATTTGTGCGTAACTCATAAATCGATTGAAAAGAGGAATTGTTGGGAGTGTATATGGCATCGGTGATTGGTTTGGAATTGCTGTAATTGGAATATTGTTTGCGAAGGCATTGGAGAAAAGCGTCGACATCAGCTGAAGCTGAAGTTACTGATGAAAACGAAAGCAAAAGGATTGAAGTGATGAATAATAGAGCATAGGGACCTTTCATTTTTCTCATGTTGGCGTGTTGGTTAGGTGAGGCATGTATATATAGAGCATATGGTGTTTTGAATGCCAACAGTCAGTCTATAAGTTTTTCAAGGAAGGTACATAGAATTTCAAAACAAAATTCTTTTCTGAATTGGAAATGTCCAAAATTAGTGCATAGTTTAATTCTTTGTTTAGATTATTTTCATTTCCTTTTAAATCCAGTTCAAAGTACACTGTACGCACATTTGCTTTCCATATATACCAAATTTACCATAATTGTCAGACGTTAAATTTTTTGTTTTACTAGTGGCCAGCCCTCACTTCGCCAAGGATTGGAATTATGTATAGTTTCGGATCTGATAAGGGACCTTCACGCAGGTCAGAGATTTTTTATTATAATACACTGTTGTTTTCTTTTTTATCATAAAAGTTTCAAAATAAACTTTTTTGTTTCATTTTCTATTTTTAATTTCTCTCTACAATCAAAACCACTAGCCTTGTATTTTAGAAAAATATCTTCACCTAAAAATTTTAAGAATCATTATTTAGATTTTTTTAATATTTTATCATCGAAAAAATTTTCATTTTTATTTAAACATATAATAATAAAATTTTTACAAAAAATCTAAAATATTTATTTTTATAAGTATTATTAATTATTTCAAGACATGCATGTTTTATAAAAATTTTATTAATATGAATAATGCAAAAACTTTCAAATAAGAAGCTAAAAAAATGTATAAAAATTATAATAAAGGAAAAGGCATTCGGGTCAAGTTGACTCGTTCTAACACTTTGGATTTTTCTTTTTTTTTGTTTTGTTTTTTTACGCTTTATAAAACCAAAAAAAAATATTGTTTCATTTCTTCTCCTCCTTCTTAAAAAAATAAAAATTCTCTTTTATTTAAAAAAACAAAGGCTCTCCTTAAACCTCAGATTTCGACAAGCTTGCCATCATCAACCATTGTCAGTCGGCACCATTTCGCCCCCAAATTTTCACCCTCGACTTATTTCAACTTCCTGAATACCGTTTCGAACTTTTTTTCTTAAAAAAAAAAAACTTTTAGAAACCTACATCTGAAATCAAAACTGAAACTTTAAGCCACAAATTCTCTTTCTTCCTTCGTTTGATCCTCCTTAAATTTTTATATGTTGCTACTCTCATCTCACTTTTTGTTTCCACCAATCCCGATTACCTTAAAACTTCATGTTGTTACGAGTTGTCATGTGCCACTGTGGGTTCTACAGTCACTTGTGACTAAAAAATGGCCTTTTTTTCCTTTTCTTACCAAATATCTCCAAATCACCAAAAAATCTTGAAAACCAAAATCCCTTCACACTTTTTATTTTCATTTTTTTTATGTTGGCTGTTTTTGGCGTTGGTTCTCCCCATTAAGGATGTGGTTTTTCCTACATTTTGTGTGTGATTTTTTTTGGAATTGTTTTTGGTAGCTTTCTCTTTAAGGAATTTGGTTTGTTTTAGGATAGGCAAGTTTTAGGTTTGATGGTTAAAGAAGGGGTTGTTTGGTGTCGGTGAAGGGCTCGATTTTTTATGGTGATGGGACTAGGCTATGGTTCAGGGGGCTCAAGATTGAAAGTGGCTGAATGGGTTTTGGGGGGTAGCTGATTGGTTTTCGTACGGGGAGATTTTAAGTTTAGTTGATGGAAGTTTAGGATTTGAGGCTAAAGCTAGTGATGATTTTAGGTGTCTTGAAAGCAAAGACATGGTTTAGGTTGATGGCTATAGGTGGCTGGTAAAGGTCGAATGTAAATGGTGGGTAAATGGTTTTGGTATCTCAGTTTTTGGTTAAGTTTTGCCTAAAAGCTTTCTTGGTTGCTGTCATAACGTCTAGATCCAAGGATCTATCGCTAGACATTGACTTGAGGAGTCGCCACCAATATTTTTTATCTAGGTGCGATTGGTCACTTAAAGAATCTGTCTTTTTAGGGAACACCTAAGTTTAAGGGTCTTTAAAAGAATAGGTTCAGGTCTACTAACCAGAACATAGTTCAAGAGTTCGGTTACGTGTGAGGAAGGTTATAGCACCCTCACAACGCCCATCAAAAGATGATACCAGCTTAAATTTGTGTTATCCAATGAGCCTTAAAATTTTACCAAGTAATTAATTATTAAAAATTATTCTTAATTGACTCTAATACTTTTAGCAGAAAATTGAGAAAATTCTCTCACCTCAGGAGTATGCAAGAAAACTACTGTTTCACTTGTGGAGGCTCCATCGTCAGATTATTTTAAGAAAAAAAAATAAAAAAATAAGAATAAAAAGGAAGAAAAGAATGATTGTTTTTGTGCAGGAAAAATTGATACTTTCAACTTTTCTCAAAAAATATTCTTTTGAAACTTTAATTTCGAGAAAAATTGATACTTTCAACTTTTCCTCAAAAATTTATTTTTTTGAAAATTTATTTTTAAGGAAAATTAATACTTTCAACTTTTTCTCAAAAATATTATTTGAAAACTTTGATTTTCGAGGAAAATTGATACGTTCAACTTTTCCCAAAAAATATTTTTTGGAAACTTTGATTTTCGAGGAAAATTGATACATTCAACTTTTCCTCAAAAATATTTTTTTTGAAAATTTATTTTTAAGGAAAATTGATACTTTCAACTTTTTCCCAAAAATATTTTTGGAAAAATTTATTTTTAAGGAAAATTGATACTTTCAACTTTTCTCCAAAAATATTTTTTTTTGGATTTTATTTAAAGAAAATAAAATAATAAAACAAAATAAAAGTGAGAAATAAAAAAAAATAAATAAAGAAAAGTAAAACAAAAATAAAAATAAAATAAAGATAAAAGAACATTAAATAAACCTAATCTAATAAATAAAAATAAATTAATTAATTAATTAAAAAAAAACCTGGAGCGGTTCAAAAAACAGCTCGGCTTGGCTTAAGGAAGAAAAATGATTCGGAGAAGCGGCTCGGGACGTCGGCTCTGCTCGGGGTGGTGGAATACACGTCGGTTGCAAAGCGGGTCGATGCTCGGGTCGGGTCGGATCGGATCTTAGCAAAATGCGCGGATTCTCTGGGTTGTTTAACGCAAAAACGACGTCGTTTTGAGAGGGTATATACGGCTCTTCCCTTTATTTTTTGGCAGAAACCTTCTCTCTTTTCTCTCTCTTCTTTTTTTTTTCTTGCTTATCTCTAAAATGGTCAAAGAACTCCGATTAATATTCATCGAATTTTAAAATTTTTCGTCAGAATCTGGGTTTTTTGTCGAAAGTTCGTCGAAAAGTTGGTTGATTTCTGGAAATCTTCACCGAAAGTTGGGCAGCTGGCCGAAAACTTCAAAGTAGGTCGAAATTATCGTCGAAAAATTCAACTTTCGTCAAAAAAATAATCGGAATCTGGAAATTTTCCAAAAATTTCCAGAAAAAATTTTCGCCAAAAATCTCTAAAAATTTTTTTCAATTCCCTCAGATATTCTAACACTTCTCAACCTTCGTTTAGCCTTCAAAAATCTTCTATATGCCCTTTTCTCTCAATCAGTAGCTTTTTGCTCACTGTTTTTCTCTGTGTTCTTCCTTCTGTTCCAGTACCTATTTATAAAGATTGATCAGAAGAGTTTCTGATCAATCCTTATTCTTTTTTGGATGGAGATTCAATCTTTGAATCCAATCTTGATTTTAATTGAATCCCAATTCACGGTAGGATTCTTCAAAGATCAATCTCAACCCAAAAAAAAAGGAAAAAAAATCTGATAAACGAAAAAAAAAATCAGATAAACGAAAAAGAAAAAAAATATAACAGATAATTAAAAATAATAATAAGATAAATAAAAAATATTACAAGATAAATAAAACAATAATAAATAAATTATAATAATAAATATATAACTAGATAAATAAAATACATATATAGATATTAACAAAAAAAATGAATAAATAAATAAAGATATACTTATATTAATACATAGTAATAATAAATAAATAATAAATACATAAAATACAAAAAAAGGAAAAAAATAAAATAAAAACCAAATTGGGCTTACCCATTTTGATCAGGCCCAATTGATCCGGGCATAGATCAAATTGGGTGTCTACAGTTGCATTTCTTTAAAGATAAAAATGGATACATGCCAAGGGCTGTTGGGTTGATAATGCCTGTTGTTTGTTGGCAATTATTTGATGATTTAGATGAATAGTAAATCTTTTGGCACAAATTAAGTTGGAGAGAGCTTTAATTTGAAGGGATAAATTTTATAATATATAGGTATATGATTGTGTTTTTGATTTAGTAAATATTATAGGAAACCTTAAATTTTATCATTTTATTTATTAACCTTTATGATTTTTACTTAGATAAGCTCTTACATTTTGATTTTTATTTAAGTATATCTTTATAAAACTAATACATTTAGTATTTCCAAGTTTTATTTAAATATTTAAAATAAAAAGATTTAATTTGGATTAAATGATTTAAGACTTATTATGTGCAAAGTAAATATTAAAAGTTTATTTAAATACATAAAGACTTATCTAAATAAAGTGATAAAGTTCATGAATATTTTTTATTATTTTAACTTTTTTGTTTTTAAAACTTTGTTTTGTTTTATTTTGAAATTTTAAAAAAAGAAAATGTATTTGGTTAAATAATATTGTTATATAATTTCAAAAACTGAAAACATAAAACATGTTCGATAAATATTATTAATTGAAGGGTTAATATCATGAATAGTCTCTAAACTATGATGAAATAATGAATATGGTATTAAATTTTAAAAATCTCTAATGTCGTACTTAAACTATAAATATATTAACTAATGTAGTATTTGAAAGGTTGTTTGTTTGTCACTTATCATCATTTGAAGTTAGCTACGTTAGGAGTGAGCATCATTTTAGTTAATAGATTTATAATTCAGATATCATATTAGAAATTTTTAAAATTTTAGTATCACTTTGAATATTTTAGTATAATTTAAGAATTATTAATGATATTTGTAAACACTCAATTTTGTTTGGGATTGTATGAGTTTGCTCAATTTTTGTACTTGATTTC